TATGTGAAAGAGGAAATTGGGGTCATGTGAACTTTGCCTCTTTCCTTGTCCTGTTACTGTGCATTGATATAGTCAAGCTACTCTTAGCTTCATGGGCTTGGTACATGAAACTAAACAATATGATGGGTTAACTTGACCTTGAGCTGGAATGCTTGGTTTGGGGTGGGCTGAGGTTACAGTTGGAAATGGTATTTTTGGTGATATTGTTTGTTTTCTGATGATACTGTGCCTTGATCAATAGCTTCCACATTCCACCCCAGAAGTGTAGCTAGTACCTAGTTTGATCCATTTCTGGTTAGGTTAATGATATCATTTAATGTCAGCAACCAAGACTGACTTAGTGTGGTTTTGCTCAAAGAAGTTCTGTGATACAAGGGGCCTTGCGTGTTGCACTGCCTGCTAGGTGTGTAGCTCAGCCCCTCCCCTCAACTCTTCTGCCATGACTTGATGTTATTCTATAAAGAGAGAGGGTTCAATGGAGATCTTCTTCCTGGGAGGGCTTCCCCGGGAAACGGCAGTACTCACGATTTAGACGCGATGTTCCATGGGGCTCCGCCTCCCCTACACCCTGTCCACTCGCAAACCGGATGGGCGTCAGCACAATGGTGGTTCAGCCTTGCTGTCATGACCACAGCTTGCTTCGAGAGGAACCCCACATCCGAGTGGGCTCGGTTGGTATTTGTCCCTCCTGCCTCGAAGCGTAGCCTTCCCTCCCTCGAGGTTGTCAGGCTATCTAGGCGTAATGTTGCGCCTACCGCAGTGCCTCTGAGTAGGGGGCTTTGTTCTTACGCCTCTTCTCTCTCTCTCTTATTTTTCCTTTTTTTTTCCAAAAGAAATAGACTCCTGGGGAGGAGAGGGATGTGGAGCTGCCTCCTTTCCCCCAGCCTCCTACAGGGGCGCTCAAATGCCTCCCCTGCTCTGCCTCCTACAGAGGGGCTCAAATGCTTCCCCTGCTCTGCCTCCTACAGGGGGCTCAAATGCCTCCCCTGCTCTGCCTCCTACAGGGGGCTCAAATGCCTCCCCTGCTCTGCCTGCTGGTGCTGCACCAGTTGTGCTGCTCCTCTCCCGTGCAGGATCCTCAGCACGTCTGGCATGTTGCACACCAGCGCGCTCTCTCTCCAGCTCCTTTCCCGCCTGCGTTCTGGCGGGGCTTTTAAATCTTCCCACGGTGGCCAGCATGGCTGCCTCGATTGGTCCAGCTGTTCCCTGCCCGGGAAACAGCTGATTAAACAGCCGGCGTAACACCAGCTCGCGTGGCTGCGGTTTCTGCTCCTGCTTTGGCTACCCGGCGGGAGGTAAGTTTTTCCCACAGGGAGGCTGTTTCTGGGGTTTGGGGTCCACGGGGATTACCCTCTCCCCTTTGGAAGCCTTTGGGGGTGCCTCGCTGCCACAAGGTCCCAGTGAATTAAGGCTGCTGACTTTCCAGTCACTTATTGAGCTTTCCAGAGCAATAGACCTTTTAAAAATAAAAATCTCTTGCTTTTGCATGCAGTACATGATCAGGAGCAGCTTAGAATTTGAGAATCTCAGTGTTGCTCTTTTACATTATCGACTAGTGACTTAATATTGGACTAAGGATATACCTGCTGAGTCACCACTGTAGCTGCAGTGAAGACATACAGAAACTAGCTTAAACTAGCCATGACAGCCTGAACTAGAGCTCAGAACAAGTTGGGAAAACCCATCCAAGGAACCTGGGATACCTTACACTTTAGACATGATTAACCAGTTAATCACTTCTTGCATAGTAACCTGGCCGCATATTTATGCAGTTAATGGTATGATAAAACAGGGAATAAGCCACAAAGTTTTTAGACAAAATGGGTGTAATAACTCTGTGGCTAGTTCCCATTGTATATTAAATTGAACGTGTGGCTAACACTGATTAGTTGATCAGCACTCTGAGCCCCAGGAGTGCACCAGTCTTGAAGGACTCCTATGTGTTCCCTAAGTGCTCCCAGCCACGGGCACACTGGGCACCCAGCTTGCTACTTGCTGGTGCAGGGGGAGCCTGGGATCATGATTCCGGGCTCCCCCTGCACTGGCAATAGGGTACGATTGGGATCTGATCCCCAGTCCCACAATTGCACTCCCTGCCATGCACATGTAGCATGGCAAAAGGTAGACTGTAAATCAGATTCCATTGCAGCTTTAATTGAACCTCTGTTAACAGCCCAAGAGGCAAGGTAAGTACTTTTGTTGTTGGTCTGTTTTCACACCTAGATTGCTACCAGAACTAGAGCTTTCTGGTTTGCAGAGTAGCATAGATAGTGATGGTAGTGTAATATAGCCAAAGTAGTCAACATTATAGTCAACTGTCTTCCATAAACCACCAGATGAGAGAGGGTGCTGTGTAAGCTAAGCCATTGGAGATGAGACTCTGACCCCTTGTGTCCTTAACTAAATTTTTGGTAAAGAAGATATTCTTTAAAACACAAGAACTAAGATCTTTAAACTGATATAATATCCTTCATTACCACAGGACTGAAGGAAAGGAAACTTCACATCTTTTTGTGACTGTGGTTTCTGCTATCAGTTTCTTATTTTTGCCAGAGGAAGAGGTACAGAGCAACAAGATCGTGTTAGGATAAGAGCTTCCCTCCCCTCCTTCCCCAACACCCTACCAAACTGTGAAAAGCCATGAAGTGGCTGAAGTGCCATCTCCTGAGCTTTAGCCATGAATTTATAACAAGGATTGTTGGAATCATTTGTATTTTGTCCAGTGTCTGAGAGGCACAAGCTGGAACATCGCTGTACACTGGAAATGGTGATGTATCTTAGTAGAATTCTAGAAGTTCTTTCTGTTCAGACTAAATATTCTAGGATTGCTGGCTCTGTGAGACTAGGAGCTCCTGTGTTGCAAACCCCATCTGGGCTGATGAGCATTCTTGCTACAAAGGGCACATGCCACTGATCTTGTTCTGCATTGTGTCTACCTAAGCCTTGGATTTATAAACTGCTTATATATCACTATATATGTAAATGACTCTAGAAATTACTGATTATAATGGAAACCCTGGGTGCAGAAAGTGTTGCAGGATCTGTACAGTAAGCTGGCAATAATTTCCTGAATGAAGTGCTAGAAAATAGGTTATTTAAACTCTTTTTAGTATCTCATATACCAAGGGTTGGCAGCCTATGGCCCATGGAGATTTTGGAGGCAGCCTGCAAAGCTGTGGCTTCAGCAGCAGGAGACTCTCTGCACCACGCCACAGTTGGCACCAGGATCTTAGGTGGGGAGGGAACTGCCCACATTGCCCCGCAGTTGGCCGCCTTGGGCTCCAGCAGAGGAGCTGTCACTGTGCCCACATTGCAGTTGGGCAGCTTAGGCTGTGGCAGAGGGAAGGTTTTACTCATACTATGCCAGTCAGGCAGCATGGACTCCAGCAAAGGGGTGGCTTTAACCCTGCCATCATGGGCAGCAGGGAAAAGTGACAGCATCCAGGTCCTAGTGCCCACACAGCTCCTACCTGAGCTGGGTACTGGGCTGCATTAGTAGAGCATTAAGGCCAAGAGAGCAAGCCTTACAAGGGGAGACTCAGGGACATGGGACTCTTCAGCCTGCAGAAGAGAAGGCTCAGGGCAGCTTATAAGTACATAAAGGGGGTACATCAGGATCTGAGAGAACCAGGGCTCACCAGGGCTCGCCAAGGGATAACTAGGTCTAACGGCCACAAACCTCTAGAAGGGCAATTTAGACTTGATATAAGGAAAAACTTCTTTACAGTCCGAGTGTCCAAAGCCTGGAACAGACTCCCCCCGAGGTGGTGCAAGCACCTACTCTGGATTCATTCAAAAGGCATTTGGATGTTTATCTTACTGGGATCATTTGATCCCTGTAGACGTGGGCGACTGGTGCCGCCTTAGTCAGGGGGAGGCACATGTCCCCACAACCAGTCCCGCCAACTGGGAGGGGGTCCCCCTGTGGCCAATCCGGCTGCCCAGGGGGAGCCCTGCAGCCGATCCCACAACGGCCAATCACTGCGGCCAATCACTGCAGCCGCTTCTGGGAGTGGTTGCGGCGGCTTCTGGGAGCGGCTGCAGCGGTTGGCCAGTGCTTACAGGGTGGGCACCGGTGCTCCCGCCTGCCCCCCCGTGCACCCCCGTTCACCCCCTACATGTCGCCACTGCCTGCAGACTTCCTGCTTCTGGCAGGGGGCTGGACTCGATGATCTCACGAGTTCCCTTCCAGCCCCTAATGTCTATGAAATTGCCAGCAGGTTGTGGGAAGTGATTCTTCCCCTCTGTTCAGCGCTGGTGAGGCCACATCTGGAGTCCTGTGTCACGTTTTGGACCCCACCACTGTAGAAGGGATGTGGACAAATTGGAGAGTCCAGTGCAGTGCAATGAAAGTGGTTAGGGGAGTGGGGCACATGACTTCTGAGAAGAGGCTGAGGAAACTGGACTTATTTAATCTGGAGAAGAGAGGACCGAGAGGGGGTTTAATAGCAGACTTTAACTACCTGAAGCGGGGGTTACAAAGAGGATGGAGCTGGACTCTGTTCTCAGTGGTGGCTGATACAGAACAAGGAGCAGTGGTCTCAAATTGCAGCAAGGGAAGTTTAGGTTAGGTATTAGGAAGAATTTTCTCACTAGGAGGGTAGTAAAGCACTGGAACAGGTTACCCAGAGAGGTGGTGAAATCTCCATCCTTGAAGGTTTTTTAGACAAAGCCCTGGCCAAGATGCTATAGTTGGGGATGGACCTGCTTTGATTAGGGGGTTGAACTAGAGAACCTCCTGAAGTCGCTTCCAACCTCAATTTTCTATGATTCAGTGACTTCCAGCCTTTCATCAGAAAATGTTGCCAACCCCTGTTGTATGCAGTAAAGATTGCAGTCCTCTTTTGGGTGAGGATTGCAAGACAATTGACAAGCCGAATGCACCACGGCTCTGCAAGCCCTGGTCTAGACATCAGTCTTCAAGGTGGCAAATGAGAAAAAACTGCAGCTAATGTATGGTGTTCTCTACTAAACTTCAATGTGGGGTTTTCTCTTTGCAGGGATACTGCTAGATATACAGACGTACTTCGGTATCCATGACAGCAAAGCTGGTTTCTTGCAGACAGGTAAAGAGGGTGTCCTGGTCAGAGGAATATGATCTGTTCCACATACAGCTTGCTGGTTTCTAAAAATGAAGTATAGCTGTTCTTTTCTTCCTTGTTTTGTTTCTAGTTCCTCACTACTGCCTTGCAACTTTGATTGCTAAAACTTTATCAGTTGGTTCACAAACGTATGGGTAAAAGCCATTGACTGCTGACTTTTAATCAGACTCAAAAAAGTTTCTTTACTGAGAGGGCTAACCTTTTTTTTCGGTCATTTAAAATTTTTATGGCCCTCAAAGTCGGGAGTTGGAGTGGGTTTCTTGGCCAAATTCCTGCTTTAACACTAACATCCTCCTAACAAAATTCTATTTATCTTTCCATTGGCCAGTAAATACCTTTTGCCTAAACTTAATGAGTCACATAATGAGTCCAGGCTGAAACTACTTCAAGATCGTTTCAGGCTGGACATAAGGAAGAATTTCTTTACTGTCCGAGCCCCCAAGGTCTGGAACAGCCTGCCACCGGAGGTGGTTCAAGCGCCTTCATTGAACACCTTCAAGATGAAACTGGATGCTTATCTTGCTGGGATCCTATGACCCCAGCTGACTTCCTGCCCTTTGGGCGGGGGTCTGGACTCGATGATCTTCCGAGGTCCCTTCCAGCCCTGATGTCTATGAAATCTATGAACATATGAATTGGGCAAACCTATGATCCCAGGGTCTGAGGGTTAGCTAACTTTTAATTGCTGTTGGTTTGAATGAATGTGCTAAATAACATGGCTATGAAATGCCTTTATTTAGCATGGGATCATTTAGTATCTGTCACCCTGAAACAACTAAGGTCAGAGTTCATGGGTGTTGGTCCAAGGACATAGGCAGACAAAATTCTTTGGGTAAATCTCATACCTTTTATTTGACCAACCAAACATTTTAGTTGGTTTAATTAAAGATATCAGATTTACCCGAAGAACTTTGTCTGCCTAATGTCAGAGTTAAAATTCTGACTGAAGAGCATGTTTTGGGAAATAATGGCACATTTTGGGTGGAAATGTGAACTAATGAGCATGGCTGGCAGCGTTAAACTGTCTTCTTAACAGAGTATTAAGAAACCCTTGTCTCATTCAAAGAAGTTAAAAAAAAAAGTGTGGAGGGTGCAAGAAGCAGTGGTATAGATTTTTTAACAGTATATCGAAGAGTGAGTTTATTAAGGCACCTGGGAGAAGTTTTTCAGTCATGCATATGTGATAACCTCATGAATTACTAAAGCACTAGACTGCTTGCATCCTGGTCATTGGTCACTGGTTTACACTTAACGTTTTGCTGCTTGTGGTTTCTGTTTCTTCATCTGCAAACGCTTACATCTAGATGAGTCACTGCCTAAACCAGAACTATTAAACCTTGCTACCTCAGGGCTAGAAAAGCCAAAGCTGCTGAAATATTAGCCTGTTTCAATATGGCTCTTGGGAGTGGTGGTCTGCCCACAAGTTCTGCAAATTTGATCCTTCCTTTTGACATTTAGCCCAACAAATAGCACATATATACATAGTACTGCCTCAGGGAAAAAAGGGGTGTCATAAGAATGACTTGCCTAGAATTCTCAGATTGATATATTTTTCTTTTTCAGTCTTCCTCCTGTGCTACATGCTATCTGCACCCTTCTTCGGATACCTAGGTGACCGATACAACAGGAAAATCATCCTTGGTGCTGGCATCTTCCTCTGGAGTGGTGTGACACTAGGCAGTTCATTTATCACTGAATCAGTAAGTCACTTGCTTATTCTGGGATGGTACTCTTGAGTCAGTGGAGTCTGGGAATAATGGAGTTTTGTTTTGAACCAATCATACTTCTTTAAAAAGCTTTCAAACAGCATGGTAGACCCTGCTTCTTAAAAGTGAACAGTTAACCATGTGTAGGAATGCTTTACTGGGGATTGTAATATGCCTCTCAAGCCATGGAAGGTATAGAGTCATGGGATTACTATAGCATAGTGTATATGCATAAAGATTAAGTCTGTGAATTAAAATTGTACAGGCAACTTGTTTTCTAACTTTTGAGTGCTTGACTTTTCTAGAATAGTAGGGCGTTTTAGCTTCATCGATTGTAACTTCGCAGTTTAACAAACCGAAACCTAAGTCTATCATGTGGCATCATTGACACCGCTGGCTCATAAGCATAGTTAGAGTGTTAGATCCTTCATGGTGTCACATGGTATCCTGAAATAAAATAGTCTCCCTGGATTGTTCAGCTCTGTTGCATACATCTTTTCAATTTTACCATTGCTGTTATTAGCAATGAAAGTGAGACGAATGCCCCTTTAGTGGAATGCCTGGGCTCTTCTCTCTAGTTACAACTACAACCACCATGGACCTGGTTCCACGGTGGAAGCTCTGGGATGGTTGGCTGCCCCAAGAAGTGCTGGATACTCTGGGCCTTGGCGATCTGTTAGGCATGTACCCAGAATTATTAAGGTGGCTCTACTTGGGTTCTCTTCTAAGAGAAAAGTTATGATGAGCTCTACTAATCATTTCAGGAGTTTCAGTTAAGCACTAATGTCTGTCCGAAGGTCATGCACCAAATATATAAAATGTCATGCTATGTATGAAGCAAACTTTCAGCATTCTGTAAGGAATATCAGTTTGTAATGAAATTCTACAGGTGGTTCAGAGAATTTCCCCCCAGTAAGGGAAACCTTCAGATCATGGACCACAATGGAAGCAGCTGTTTGGTGCTAGTCTTAATCAGATTTTTATTTTCAGTCATTGTACCACTTTAAGTCAATTGGGAAATGCTTAGTACCCCTTCTCCCAACTTTTAATAAGCAATGTCTTGATGTGTGGTACAAGGCTGTCTAAAACAAACAAGAGAAAGTGAGCAGTGCCTTCCACAAGATGGAGATGATGCACTTGATGTGCATTCCGCTAGATGCTTCATCATGTAGTGGACCTATTTGTATAATGCCCTGTTAGCTGAACTTCTTGGGTCTCCACAGTAGCCCTCCATCTTCACTAAGGGGATTGAGATTTCCTTTTCACTGAGCGGTGTATTCTGAGGTTTTTCTCACTGCCTCTCAAATCCTTAAACAGCCTTTTTTCCCTATCAATTTTGTGAAAACATTGTACACTAGGGCTTCCAAAAATGGACCTGGACTAGCATGAGTTGATAACAGAATGTTAATCACTGTCTACCCATGTTCAATACAAGGGACCAATTAATCTGGTGTCTTTGCTGTTGTGAACACTGGTAAGAATACCCTTCCTTTAAAAGAAAGCTTTCATTTCATGTGCATATTTTGGACCATACTCTGTCTTCTGCCTCCAGTATTTCTGGTTATTCATTCTTTCACGTGGACTTGTTGGCATCGGCACCTCCAGTTACTCCACTGTGGCACCAACTTTCATTGCAGACCTATTTGAGGAGGGGAAAAGGACCACAATGTTGTCTTTCTTCTATATCTTCATCCCAGTTGGAAGGTATGTCTGTTTACCTATTGTTGAACCTTATGGGAAATTTTTCAGGTCAGGACTCTCATACAGCATCCTTTTCAGCCTTGATTATGTCCAGTTGAGCCTGTACCTTTATTCTGACTTCTTCACGGTAGGCCAGCACCCAAAAAGAATTGGCTAGGCTTTCCATAGTTATGTTAAAGTATATAATTTAGGTCACACCTTTTATAATTTTAATGGGTTTTTGTGTTCATTTTGGAAAACTTAAATGCTAATGTGGTGTGTGGGCAGGCCCCCATTAGTTAGGGAAAATCTTAACATACATATATATATTTTTAGACAGGTGAAAGCTAGGTTTTCTTCTCAGAAACAAGAAACAAGGTTTTCTTCTCAGTTGTCAGGAAACTATTTTTTAATTAAAGTACTTGCTCTTGAAGAACAGAAACACTTGAGATTAGTTTTCACTTGCAATAAAATCTATAGGGAAAAAAAGCATGCTTGTTAGTTGCAGACCACACTGGAACCCAGGCTCCCAGTTTAAGATAAAGGAGCCTACGCGTGGTATAATTCATCCGGCTTTTGTAAATAGACTGTAAGATTTACTGCAGGTCCCTGCTTATATCTGGATGCCTGGGTTTGTCCTAATAGAATAAACATGTATATTCCTTATGAATATAAATTCAGTGAGATAGTCTGAAGAATATTTTCTTTCCAATGCTGTTTTCTAACTTTGGGTTCCTTTAATTTACGATAATCTTCATGAAGAAGCGTGGGCCCAGGCAGAGGTACAATACATTTGGCTTTTAAGCCTTTATGGGATTGGGGCACTGGAGTAACAGCTTTCTCTTATTTTTTGGCCCCTTTCTGACCATTCCCCACAATCTCATTTGCTTCCCCATCTGTGCCTGTGGGAATAAGGAAAGGTGTGCTAAGCACTTCTAATTCAACAACATGGATATTAAGGCCTTATTTGTGGTAGAAAAAGTCCTAGTATAGACCTGATTTGGACATTGTCATCACAGTCTGTCTGAGCACTGTTAGCTTCTAATGGGAAGTACAATTAAATTACCATGGAGAGGAAACTATCACAAAATCTTCCTGTGTGCTCCCCTCAATAAAAATCCTGCTGCTGAGGGTTGGTCTTCTAGTGCACGAGTGGACGCTGCACAGAAATCTTAATGTATTGTTTTTCTTTTACAGTGGCTTTGGTTATATTCTGGCATCTAGTGTGACACAAGCTACTGGCCACTGGCATTGGGCATTCAGAGTGAGTGTCTGTTTTTTGTATTGTTTTTTTTCCCCTTCACCCCTTCTCCCCTTTCCTCTGGGATCTGATCTATTCCTTGTAAAATTTCAGTCTTGACTGGATCTGTGTAATGATTTTTGAGTCTCCTAGCTTGCTTACAAGGCAAGTCAGCAGTCACAGGGAATGAATGACAGCTGCTTCTAGCAGTCAGGTGCCCTGATCTTTAGGAGCAGAACTCTAATCTTTTAGATCAAGGGTGACCCACATGCAGCTTGAATGCCACAAGTGGCACAGGAAGTCTCTGCATATAGCACACAGCAGATCAGGGCAGGGACAGGAAACACAGTGACAAGTAGGACAAGAAGCAGAAAGCAGAAGAGGAGATAGAGCAGTAGTTTGAGCAGAGGAAGGGGATCAGAGTGGTAGTTGGAGGGTTCGGGGCTAGCTTGTGGGACATGTGCCAAAAAGGTTGGTCCCCACTTTCCTGGTTATGCTGCCTCCCAAGCAAAGTGAGTTGTCTACCTTCAAGGTACTTGCAGGAGTAGAAACATCAGTACTGAGATGACTGCTTGGCTGGGTGCCACCCCTCATGCAAGAATGGCAGCTCTGCACAGTGGGGAACTTTCTCTGCATTTTTCCCACAGAACTGTGGGAGACCATTGGTGGATTCATACAGGAACATGTGAGGGCATGCCAGTGTATTGCACTTCCTCACAACAAAATCTTGTCCTATAGTTGCATGGTGACCTACAGGTTGGTTACAGGGGTAACCAACCTGTGGCACATGTGCCACAAGTGGAATGGGCAGCCTCCATGTTTGGCATGTAGCAGATCAAGAAGGGGCAGGGAGCAGAAAGCAGAGCAGCAGACTGGAAAGAGGATAGGAGTGGCACTCATGTGGGAGGTGTGAAGCTTAGTTTGTGGTACACCTGCCAAAAAGGTTGTCCCCCGCTAGCCTAGAGAAAACAAATAATGTCTCTTCTAGGCCTCTCTGCAGGTCCTCATGTATACATGTTTAACAGTAACACATCTGGCTATTACCTGCCCTTCAGTGTAAGGGGAACAGCATTCATGACCTTACTTCAGTCTTGTCTCTACAGATAACTCCTTGCATGGGAGGGTTGGCACTGGTCTTTCTCATTCTGCTAGTCCCTAATACAAACCAGAGAACAGCTAAAGTTTTTGGAGGGCAAAGCATCACCAACACAACCCAGGGAGCAGCCAAGAAGCATGAACCACACAGCACTGCCCACACAACCTGGTGCAAAGATGTCAAATCACTTGGCAAGAAGTAGGTAATCATAGTTGCAAATATTGCTTATAGCCCAAAATAGTTGTTAAACCAGTAGGCAGTGTGATTCTGGATCCAGATGGCAGTTGTGTCCCACAAGCATTTGTTCTGTACTTGAGTGCTATAGTATATGCTGCAGGGTATGCAGGTTGCCTGAAGCCCTCGTAATTAATTTCCCTGCTTTCTTAATTACTGGGACACTACAAATGAGATTGAGGACTGACTGTTTCTCCCTACATATGTGGAAAGGAAGAGGCAAAGCTGCTAGTATTTGGGGTAGGGAAGGCAAATGCCTGGTTCCCCTCTTGTTTTAACTCAAAGATAGGCCTGACTCAATCCAAGCCCTGTTGTGGATGCAGTTTAAATCCTGATCCAAATCTGCCACCAAACTGGGCCTCTAATTCATAGGTGATATCTGCCCCACAATTGCAGGTAGAATACAGAGTGTAGACTTACCTGCACCAGCTCATGTACCATGAAGCTGCAGCAGCACAGGTTTCATGGACAAAGTCCTACCAGGCTTGTACTGCCTAGACAGAAGCAACTCTTATAAGTCTGTATGGTGAAAATCTACCCTGCTTTCTGCCTGCTATTGAGGTTTCAGGTAAATGAGCTATCAGAGAGTAATGGGGCTTTGTAACTAAACCAGGGTCAGTGAAACACCTGCAGATTAGGATAAATATACTGCTGCTTTGTGCTGCCCTGTCTCTCTACTTTTTTACTGAGGGCTCAAAGGGCAAGGACTGTCTTGTTCTCTTTGTATAGCACCTTGCATGATGAGGTCTTCAGATTATATTCCCATACCACACAGTGATAATATCAAACACAGATAATCATCAAGTGAGTGCCAAATGCTGAAATCTTCCTAGGCTGACTTCCAGGTATGCTTCTGGTTGATAATATGTACCCTAGGGTGAGGACTGAGGGAGATGGCAGCACCAATCCAAATATTATGTTGGGCAGTAACCCATCTGATTTCTCCTGTTCTGTACTGGTAGGAATAGCATGTTCCTTGTAATGATAGTTTAACAAAAGTCTTTGCAGAGTAGAAGGCATGTCCTGCCCTGCATATCTGACAGAAGCAAGGTTTGCCCTTGACTACACTTGTTCCTGGGCATTTATTCATGTGAGAGGCTACAAGAGGTAGTAAATAATTGCAGCTCCCAGTTACCTGCATGCACAGCCTTGGGAATGCCCAGCCTGGTTTTTTTTACCACCAAACAGCCATCTCTGAAAAGTACCCAGAGGAAGATGGGTCTGAAAGCATCAGCAAAGCAGGGCCAAAAGGAAATCTGGATATCATTTGTGGCCTTAATAGTAACTAACATGCTGTTGAGTTCTTCATAAGTCTTGGTGCCCTGTGCAGATAACCCCTTTCATGATGCTGACCTTGTGGGTTCTTCCTAAGCTGCAATGGATCAGCAGGTCTTGGGCAATCTCATATGATGTTGTATAGCCTGCTACACTGCTTCATGGCATTGTGGCCAGAATTTGCAAGATGAGGAGGTGCGTTTGTGGAGTAGTTGTGCAGCCGTGCCACAACATGCTCACCACTTCAGCTTTGACATAAGACTAAAAAGCAGAATGGCCATCCACAAGATGGCACTGTTGACTTGTATGAAGCTCACTTGTAGAGTTTTCAAATTGTGGCAAAGAACTTAATGACCTGGCAGCATGCTGACATTGTAGTTTTGCTTTCAAAGCCTACCTGTAACTGTCCTAATAAATCTTGGCAATAAAATACACAAGAGGCTAAAGTTGAGCTTTCACATTAAGGAATCAGTGGGTCACACTACTGCTGATGCTGTCCTACTTGGTCTGAGTATAGCGTCTGTTCTCATCATAGATTTTTATGATCGTGATGTTTATGCTCCCTGAAATAACATCCTTTTGCTCGAAGTATTTCTCAAAACTCTGATACTTGTTTCTCCTGATCTGGCAGCCGGAGTTTCATCTGGTCCACGTTGGGTTTGACAGCTGTGGCATTTGTGACTGGAGCCCTGGGATTCTGGATGCCGTTGTTTCTATACAGGGCTGAACTCCTCCATGGCATTGTCTCTCCATGCCTTGAGGAGCCATGCAGTTCCTCCAACAGGTGAGGTGTGCTTCATTCTGGAAAGCTGTAGAAAATGTATGTAAGAACACAATGTATTTCTTAATCCTAATGGTGGCCAGGGGCTCTCTTTCTAAGAAAAGGCTAGGGTTGGGCTGTGAGCAGTTATGGAGAAGGTATAAGGCACTGGTATTAAAAGAGATCACTGAAGAATGCTGTGAGTTTATTGTTTTAGATTCATACTGTAAATGAGCTGGTGCCCTTTTCTTGAAGGCTCATTTACTTGGTGAGATGCTACTAGTCCTTCAAAAAAAGGCAGTTTACACTGTAGCTTCTCAGTCAGTGGGGAAAGGTCTAGCTAATGGGAAGGAAGGTCCAAGTTTGAGACCTCCCTTGACCTCCTAGATTACATACATGAAAGTCACCTGCCCCCACAGAATGGATAACTGTCCCCACCACATGATGGGCTGTGCTTCCCTCCTTCATAGACCCTTTGGGAGTGTTTATTTTTTCAGTGCTTGACCCTGGCCCCTCACTCTTCAGCAATGGAAAGCTGCATAGGTCTGCTACTGAAAAACTGGATCTCTTGGCACCCAGTTTCTTACTGGCTTCTGCAAGTAGGTCCAAAAGAGCTCCAGCATCAGTTGGAGATGTAACTCTAACAGGAGCTGTGCAACCATCAGATTTTTGCAGCAACTCGTAAATCTTGTCAAAATGAAGCACTGTATAGCTGAAATACAGGATTCAGGGACATTTGGGTAAACAGTAAAGAAAAGCCTACACTCACATCTCTTCAATCTTGGCTAGATTGTTTGTTGAGTTATGGAAGCCCCGCTTGGGCCTGGCCGCAAGGGAAGGGGCCCAGTGTTCTGCAACAAAACCTGCTCCGTGTGTAGGGGAGATGAAAGCGAAAAGCTCCATTGAGTCGCCCTGTATTTGAAGAAACGGCTTCTTGTAGCAGTATGCTCCAGTCTCTTTTCTTTGTCTCAGGTTCCAGTCTTGCTGTCTTTCTGCGTCCTGACACGGCAAGTTAAACTTGTTTCCCCATCCAGATCCAAAAAGTCTTCTTGGCTTGTCTAGTGGTGGTTCTTCCAGTCTATCTCCCAAGTAGTTTTCAGATAACTTGCATCTCGCAGGTGACTTGCAACCTTCACAAGCTGCAAGTTCTTGATAGTCCATTTGCAGCAGCCTCAGCATACCTGCATGGCTCATCCTTCATTGTGTTCTTTTGTCTCTGGAAAGAGACTAATTGCTTTACACTAGATGGACATTACAAGCGAGTAGGAAAACTTAATCACATACTTGTTACGAACCTAAAATGATATTGTCACAAAAAAACCACAAACCACGAGATACGTGTGAGTGTTGGATTGCGGGAAGAAGGGGAAGTCATCTAAATGTTCTGGCAAAAGATTGCTGAGTAAAGATGAACCTGAGCACGAGGTTCAGTGTCAAAGTTGAGGGGAATTAAGCCCCCATCTGATGATACTGCAGCAGTGAGAAAGGAACAGAGGTTATTGAATCTGAACCTGTTACCAAGTGGCCGAGTTTGAGACTGGAGTCACACTAACAGGTCTGAGCCATGTGGCACAGCACTCTAGCACTCTGCCTCAAAATTGGGTAGCTTCTATCAGTTAGTAACTTATCTATAGGCAGAACTGTGCTAGAGAGGAATAGTCAGGTACAGATATTGATATACAGGTAAAATATCTGGTACCTTTTAGAAAATTTTGTGTGGTGTCAAAAGGAGGCAAAGGATTTGCAGCTACATGTCATAGCAAGGGAGTTGCAGAAAAGAGGGTCCTGATGTAATTCTTGTCTGGCTTTTAATTGATTTTTGACATCCTTGGAAGCCTTTTGCCCTCAGCATGGAGGAAAACTTTCTTGGCCTTCTACACTGAGAGTAGTAAAGTATGCTTAGTACAGCTCTTAGATGCAGCAAGCACTCAAATATCTCCCAACATCTACACACTGAATGTCCATTCTCTGTGCATGTGGTCATGAATACCTCCGTTTTCAGGGTGTTTGGAGGGGCAGCGGACTGCCATGTTCTTTATCCTCATGGTGGGAAAGAAGGGTTCACAATGTAGAGGAAAAACAAACCAGAAGAGCTTTGTTTATCTCCTTGGGTAGCATGGAGAGGCTAGGGGAAGCTATATTTAAGCAGGCAGATAGGTTCTGAACTCAGAGCTGGAGGTGTTGGACAGTTTGCTGGCTAGGTCACCAGGAAATGGTGGCAGCAGATCAGAACTTCAGTACCTAACTATTTTTGCACTGGTCAGTCCTAGGACAGGCTTGGGTAATGAAGTCCAACCTGGAGAAACCTGCCCAGTTTCAGATAATAGGCACGCTGATGTGAGAGTTCATGAATTGTCACCTGCAGGTACCCACCATGTCTCCTCTACTAGTGACTATTTCTAAGGAGCTTGTTTTGCTCAGATGCTAGTCCCATTTTGCTTGTTCCAAGCATAAGATGTAGTTTTATCTTCTAACTTGCATTTTGGATGATTTGATGATAATGATATTAGAGTAAATGCTACCTTCATAGAAGTAAAAGACTGCCTGACATTTACTGTTATCTCATGTACTGCATCCTATGCTAAGGTTTTCTTTTCCTTTTTTAAACTGTCATGGGAGCTAATGCCAAGGACCTTATATAGCTGGTTATAGATATTTTTTGGTAGAGTGGCATAAAGGGAACTATCAGATTTACATCTGCTAGTGCTGGGATTTCCAGGGTGCTGCACATTCCTGGATTCCCCCAGTGATACTTTAAGTGTGTCTGAAGCTGTTTAACAGCCAGAGGGGATGACCCTCGCTTAAGGATCAGTCTTGCAGCACCTAGGCTCCCTGGAAACAAAAATTCAACCTGCAGCATAGCTGACTCAGCCCTTTAGATACCATGCAGTTTATGTGCAGGTCTTCACACGGAGACCTTTGCATACATCAGACAAGTACTTGGGGTTCTCAGATGCTTAAAGACCCCTGGGCAATCTTAAGAAGAAAATTCTCTCTCCAGAGCTTGGCTTCTGTACTTCTTTCTCTCTACCTATTTTGTTGTGCCCTCTGATGGACTAATGCTAGGCTGCTTCTAATTTCAAACTTGATTCTACCTGACAGAGATGCTTGTAAAAGAAGATGTTGCTGGTTCTATCCATACTACAAGAATTATTACTAGTTATAGATTAGAGGATTGAGGGTGGTGAACTAGTAGTAACCTTATGCTTTGCCTAATGCCATTGGATTATTTTTGTTACTAATTCTACAGTGAAGTAGTGAAGTGATAATGTCCAGTTATCCAGGAGGCACTGGAAGAGCCAGTACACTGCATCACAGTTTGATCACTACAAATGCAGATGCCCCTGCCCTAGGCTAGGGATAGAAGTTACACATAAACCGGTTCAGATCTGGAACACAACAGAAGTCCAGTGCACATAAGCTGCTTTCAGAATGGCTGAAACTGGTTTAAAATAAACCTGGGTGGATGTAGTATCAGACTTAACTGATTTAGGTTAAATTGGTTTATTGAACTTCTGTCTCAGATCCCCTCCAGATTCAAGTTAACTGGCAGTCTTCCATCATCCCAGTATGCTTTGCATTTCCCCTGCAAACCCCACCCCTCGCAGGGTGGGTGGGCTAGCCTTGCTCCACGCTGTCTGCTCCAGCTGAGCAGGGAGGTGTGCTGTAGCGCACCCCGGCTTCTGGCCTGGGTCACTGCAGGCATGTGGCTGCATTTCCAGAACAAAAAATGAATGTCTGTTCACTTAGGCTGCTTGCAGACGTGGAAAAAAATGGTGCTTCACTTTAAACTTGGTGTGCTTCCACGCTGAGCCCCGCACATGCCCAGAAGAGACAGCACCTTAGTTGCACCAGGCTTTCCCAACGTCCGTAGAGATTGAGCACCTTAGCTATTCAATCAGCTATTAAATACAAGTACCAAAAAGCCCCGTTGAAGTGCCCGTTCTATACAGACACTGCAGAGTTGGGTCAAACTAATGCACTGCTGCTTCCAATAAAATGCATTTTGATTTGTTTTTTATCCACATTTGTCATTGCCCTTGCTTATCAGTTCAGTCTATGCAGCTTAGACTAACCTGTGAAGATTGAATTGATTCAGTCTCAGGCTTTTTGACTATCTGTACTTAGCCCTAGAGCTAAGGAGACCTGAGAAAGTAGGGATCAGCATAAAGCTATGGACCTTGTTAAAATATATTTAAAGGTTCTTGTTCTCAGAACTCTCCTCTGCTCCTGTTTCCACTCAGATGAAGAAGTTCATGATGTGCTCAGCAGTGACTCCATAGTCTTGTCTTGCTTTGTCACTGGACTCTCATTTGGGACAGTGGGGATGTTGAGGGGCAGGGAGCCCCTTAGGAAGCTAATTCATCTGTACTGTGGGGGTAGGAGTAGGTATCCATAAGGAAGTATCTTAGTTTACTGGACTGGCCAAGATGGCTGGGGGCTCCTTTAAGTCACTGGTTCTTTCAGACAGCTCCTACCAGCAGAGAACCCAGTGGGGTTTTATTCATCTTTTGAGGGCATATATGTTAACGCCTGCTCTGCAGGAAAACATCTGCTTCGAGTAGGCAGGAATCAGTAGCAGAAGTGTAACTTGCATGCTTCAGTAGTGTAGCCTTGGATAGAAGGGATTGGGATACCTGGATAAAACAGAGCCCACATTGGATTATTTTTTTCCTATAACCCTGCTAAGATTAGTGGCACAACTAATAGACCAGTAATAATGCATCTTTTCCTTAACATACCCTACTCACCCCATCCCTTTCCTTTACTACCAGCTTAATATTTGGAGGAATTACTATTGTGACAGGAATTTTGGGAGTCATCACTGGGGCAGAAGTTTCAAGAAGATGCAGGAAGATTAGCTCCAAAGCTGACCCTCTTCTCTGCTCCATAAGTATGTTCACCTCTGCTCCGTTCCTCTACGTGGCAATCATGGTGGCCCAGGAAAGCATCACAGCTACTTACGTAAGTGATGAGACCATCTGTCCTCAACAAACTGCTTTGCAGGCTATTGTGGGTGGGTTGAAGTTTGTGGCTGAACTGGTTCCATTTCATTACCTGCTTACAGTGGCTAATGCCTGAGCACATGGCACTAAATTGGCCTGCACTTCATAGGGGCAGTCCAGGGACCTTAGAGGCCTCAAAGTGTAATGTCTCCCTCTTAGCTGGAGCAGGCAAATACCTGATGGAACGGGGAAGTATTGCAGACTGGGAGTAGCAGACTTCATAGGCTGAACCAACGTACTGAAGATGATGATGACAAATTCAGGCAGCATAAGTTTGGCCAACTGCTGAAAAGTTGTGTTGGATGCTTGGACGTGTGACGAATATTGGCCGTTTTTGTGGGTTAATTGCATCATGCTGTACATGTGTGGGGGGGGTTATGATTTAAATGAGGGGGTCTTGATCCTTCCTTCCACCGTGCTGGTGCCCCCCAGGGCTGCTTGAGCGGGCAGCTAGCGGATGGGTGCTGCCTGAACTGGGGCAGTACCTGCCTGCTATCAACCACCCTGGCAGCCTAGGGGAGTGCTGCTGCCACAGAAGGAAGAACTGCCCCCCGACCTTAGGCCAGGGGCCACTCAGCCCACCGGCAGCTCACCCCCCTACCATGGGAGATGCAGGCAGGCTCTGTGGCGGGGGTAGGGGGGAAGGATCAGGCCCCTCGCTGTAAGTGATGGAAGCTCCTAAATTGAATTAGTGGGTTTTTAATCGTCGAAATTAAAAATCCAGCATTTCAATTCAGGGAACTAAACCCCTGTCACGTGTACAAGCACCCATTATGTTTTAGTTGAGTGAAGTGCGGCTGTCCCTTCCTCCACAGGTGCAGTGAGGTGCAAACTCTAATAGACTGGCTTCTGGCATTTACAGCTCTTGTGTCTGTTTACTCCCAGAACACTTCAAGATTTGTGTGCTTGGCAGTGTAAGATAAACACAGTTCCTGCTTTTTGAATGATTTAGCCTTCAATTTGGGTGTCCGAAATCACTAGTTGTTCTTGAAAACTTCAGCCCACAGTGATGTAACCAGAAATGTAAACAGTGTGAATATTGTTGTCAGTAAAGGGAAATGCAGAAACCTACCAGGAGTGATGAGTAGCTGCAAGAACTCTCAGCGAGGAGTAAGTGAATGCAAACTTTATTTTAGCCATAATTTGTTAACAGCCATGAAAAGACTCCGAGCCTTTTCCAATGTACCCATGAAAAGACTGAGCCTTTTCCAGTGTATCTTTTATTCACCATTACCAGTATTAACATAAATAATAGGATCCAGGAAGAGTTAATGATAGTAATCAACACATCAATTCAAAAGGAGTACTTTCACAGCTCCTTCTCTACTAAAAATAACATTATGCTAAAGGAAAACCTCTTTGAATCTTCAGGAGCACGTTCTCCATGAAAGGCCATCCAGCACTGATGGGTTTTTCAGGCCCACAAATCCAAATGTGGTCTTTAATATGACATAATTTTTTTTTTTTTATTAATGTGTGAAGAGGCAAATAGCAAAGTGTAATTATCTCAAGGATTTGTACTTGTCCTTTGTAGGAACCACTCTCAAATCCTCATGCAGACCTCCCTGCACCCCAGTACCTTTTGTACGTAAAAGTAGTGCACATGAGTATAGTTTCATATTCCGCTAACTTCCACAGTTAAGATGATTCAGCCAGCATGTTGTAGCATCACATTTTGTCCCCTGTCCTTGATTAGGAATGATAGCATGAAAACCCACTCTTTTTTAAAGAGTTTGTCTCCTTCTCCTACATACCACTTATGAGACATCAAGTGATGACAAAGCTTTGTGAGGTGAACATCCTAATGAATAAAAAAGCTTTTTTTCTGTATAAAAACCTCTTTGAAAGGGCTGGTGGTAAACCCACTCCCTTTTTAAATGTATATTGGCAGAATCCTTCCTCGAGCAATTAAATCTCTCTCAGAGTAGGATGTGGGTCACCATGGTCTCAATGTCTGTCTTCTCCCTTCTTCCCTTGCCCCCACCCCCGCCTACAATGGGTCAATGGGTTTCTTAAATGCTCCAACTTTTCCGGATTATACTGGCTCTTTGTTGCATATTAGAAAGGCTGGATCAAGCATGAGCAGTGGGTTGTAATAAATTCTATGTACCTCTTACCTGTTTCTTATTCTTTATAGCCATCTGACTTGTTCCCTTTCCTGGTGCCTGTTATGTCTGTGTCTCTAAACCAGATCTGACATAAGACATAATGGTGTGTGAATGAGGGTGGAGTGCCAGCTGGTGCATTTGACTTGAAGGTCCCACTGAAACAAAGCTTTCAGCAGTGGCAAAAGCTGTCAGAGAAACTGGCTTTCCCATCATAGTTAATTCAGCCACATTGAAGGTAGCAAACTTGTCCCTACCACAGTGTATGTGACGGTAACCAAGGCAAAAAATGCATGTTTCACATAATTTCCAAAGGCAGTACCTTCTGGATCTAAATAAATGGTGAAGGCCATGTTGGCTGGGTGCAGCTGATGGAGCAATATCAAAATTGAGGTATGCATTCAAACAGGCATAGTGTGGCAGCTGGTAAAAGATGTTTCTCTCCTTTTGTTATCCATATTGTTCAGTAGTTCTCTGCTGCAAAATGACTCTCGGGAAGTTTGTTTCCACAAAGTTGTAACCAAGTTGGTGGAATGTTTCACAGTCTCAGAAGAGGTTCTGGTTGGTTTGCTTAGAATTATTTATAAAACAGATTTCACTGTCCAAAACTGTAAATTTTCTGTAACCCGGGTAGTACTCAATTATGTACTCCCCTCTCCAATTGGAGGGAATGTTAGCAGGGCAGGTGCTCTGTGGGGTGAAACTGCCTATTGCATACAGTTCCCTCCTTCCCCTATAGAGTAAAGCGGGGACACATCTTAAGACTTAACTATATACAAATGTATTAAATATAATCAGAGTTAAAAATGGAACATATATAATAAAGACATGGGAACTATCTGCAATACACACGGGCGCACACACACACACACGCGCACACACACACACACACACACACACCTCTCTATGCAAATTCTCTGGGTGCAGATGAGGGATCTGGGAAACAAAGGGTCTCCGTAAACATCATGCAATCTTATATTCTAGTGAAATACTAATCTACAAAGCATGAGGCGCAAGTTCACAAAATAAGAGGCTCAGGGTTTACAAAATATGAGGCCTGGGGGGAATAAATAAACAATAGTAATGCCCCAGGAAAAGGAGGAGCCCTAGATGAGAGTTGGGGAGCCCCAGATACCCCAGCTGCCCCTTTAACAAACTTAAATATCCCAATTAATCATCATGGGAGGAAGACCCTCCTCCCCTGTGGGAATCCCCTTCCCAGGCAACTCACAACTCCTCCAAGGCCCCGGTGAGGCTGTCCTTGTCTTCCAGTGCAAGGTGTCTCTCCCCTTGGCAGGGGGGCCTCAGCTGCTTTGGGGCTTTCCCAGCCCCCAGCCTGCGTGGGGACCTGTGCTGTTCTGTGCACCATTGGCCCTGCCTTGTGCCAGGGGTTGGAGACCCAAGCCACCTGGTGCGGCGCCAGGGTCTTGGTTTGCTCCTAGACCCTCCGTGCACTGGCTGTTTACCATGTACCTGGCCCATGCCAGGGGTTGGAGACCCTAGCTGCCTCGTGTGGCTCCGGGGTCTCGGTCCGCTCCTGGGCCCCCCGTGCACCGACCCGTACACCAACTGCCTGGCCTCCTGCCAGGGGTTGGAGACCTGAGCCACTTCGTGCAGCTCCCAGGGTCTTGGTCCCTCTTGAACTCTCCATGCACCACCTGTGCACTGACTGCCTGGCCTCGTGCCAAGGGTTGGAGACCCAAACCACCTTGTGCAGCTCCCAGGGTCTCAGTCCCTCTTGGACCCTCCATGCACAAGCTGTGCACCAACATCGCACTCCCTCCCGGCGGGGCTGGGGGGCATGGCTGCTTGCTGCTCCCCATCCAGTGACAAGTCTTCGGGTTCTTCCAAGGCAACAGCCCCACTCCGCTAGCCAGCTCTCCCAGCTCTTTCTTGCCTTCTTCTCTGTCCCTCAATGCAGCCACCCATGCGTCGGGCACGCTGCTCCTTAATTCCTTTCGGGGGCTTCGCCCCTAGATTGCAAATGGAGCAATCGGAGAGAGGGGGGCTTAGTTCCCTCTCAGGTCCAGCTCTTCACCTTGCCCCTCGGTTGGGGTGGGGCAAGCCTCTCCCCTGCCATCACCTGATTGGTGGGAACGCCCCACTAATCGCTCGGAGACCTTCTGAGACGGCAAGCTGGGCTGCTGCAGGCTGGTTCGCCACATTTCTAAAGGTGATACATGAATATTGCTGCAACACAGCAAGTTCTGTCTCTGTAGTGCACTGAAATTTATGTTTTGAATATTGGGATTAAGTGGGAGCCAGGTTATTTTTCGGGTTAACTCAAGCTAGGTTCATCTTCACTCTGGCCCAGTTCTGGAGTTTGCTCAATTAAAGGCAAATTTTGAGTCAATCTGCAGCTGCTCTCCACTCTGATAGAAGCAGCTGCAATTCAGCAAGATCATCTCTTACTCAGACCTCTTAGGTACCTTCCTTTCATCTTAAAGATGATGGCAGCAGTGGTGGCAGACTGTCTTGCAAACTTTACAGGCTGCACCCATGTACCAAAGCAGACAGTGGCAAATCTGTGGGTTACGTGTGGTATCTGTTTCTTGCCCAAGCGATTCCTTCACATCTCAGTTAGGAAAGGGGCGCTATTTCATCTTCTAAAAGGTTGGTTTAAAGGGTAGTCTGACATGTCTTCCATAGTTATGCTGTTGGAAGTGATTTAGTGCAGATGCAATTTCATCACCTGCTTTATTTTTTTCATCTGACAACATACTAGCAAGCTGGCTGCCTCGACATATTTATGAATATATTCAGAGAAAAAAATACTAAGATTTTGAGTATGCTCATGTAAAATCCCTGTAAGACAGACAATTGGAGCACAACTCAGTTCTTGTCCAGGACCCTC